ATACGACAGTTGTCCTGAATCAATCTGTCAACCTTTTGCTTGTGAAACTCAGTGGTTGCTGTCACAAGATGTCTAACTCTTTGTTTGTCACAGAGCTTGCATTCTCTGATGAATCTCCTTTGAGGTGACACCTTCTGCTGTCAAGAATACAATGACTGCACGTTGCTTAAGTCGCATTGACCAACCGTCTGTGCAGGGTTCCATACTTCACATTTTAACAACACAACTGATCAATGCTAAGGCTTCCCGCCAAAACAGAACTGTAGAGGAGAGTCTACTGAACAAGCTAGTACCTGCCACATACCAGTACTGCCATCTGTTGAGGAATTACGAAGGTAGAGGCATTACTTTTCATTGAAGCTTGTATATCTACCTTCTAACACAAATAACTATGGACTATTGTGTGAGGGGATGAGTCAATGTACTACTTTAATACACAAAAGCTCACATTACTAAGGAATGCTATTCAACAAGATAATAGGAAATTTAAAAAAGAGAAAGAGACAAAATCATATAACAAAGACAGGTGCCCAATCCCCACTATGGCTATTTTACGATCTACTAACACAGCTTTGGCTGGCAAATGAATAAAATTATGTCAGAGGAGATAATGGACTATATAACTCCAATGATCTCAGATAATCTCTTTCTATAAACATTAAATAATGCTTCCCATAAACATTAGAGACATGTCAGAGCAGAATCTGGTTTAATGTTTCCTAATTTAATTTAAAGTTTAATTCCTACCAAGTATATTTTACTATGATTGCACATTTGTAAGAGGGTCAGAAAGATAAAAATAGTATTTGTTCTCTCAATGGAAATATTTGTCTTACCAAATACTTGGTTTCTTCAAAATTAGAAATGTTAGCAATGTCTTCACTAAATGTCAGACTGATGTGACAGAATGTCCAGGTTTCTACATATAACGTCTCATGATAAGCACACAAGTGGTACACTGGGAGTTTGCAGCTGAAATTTTCACTGCAGCAGTTACAATGACAGAGTATGCAATGGGAGCAGACAGATTTGTAAGACCAACTTTAACTGGTTTAAAATATATTGTCTGGGACTATTTTCCAATGGCACAGATGGATAAACATAAATGATCTCTGGGCCGAGAATTAAACAGTGAAGACTGACAACCCATGATTAGGCAATGTTCTTTGTGCCATTTAACAGCATCAAAATTAAGACGAAGTGTTTAATTCCATCAGATTGTTCAGCTGTGTCATCTTCTCAATGCAGAGCTCAGTTGATTTAACTATCAGCAAGAAAACAAACAGCAATGACAAAAAGATTAGGATGACATTTGCACTGAAAATCAGAAGCATGCCCATCTGCTACAATTGGTAGGGTGTGCTGCAGTTCTATATATGAAACATCAGAGTCAGTCAACAGGAAAAGGTGGTGATGATAATAATAATAATAACTATTATTATTATTATTATTATTATTATTATTATTATTATTATTATTATTATTCATTGTTGTTTTAAGTGTTTGTAATGGACCAAGAAAAAACAATGACAACAACGACAAAACTTTATTTATATCCCACCACATCTCCCCGTGGATACTCATCTAAGTGGGTTAAGGTGGTGGTTAATGCTTCCCTTCGGGAAGGCAAGATTCCAGCGAGCTTAAAACAAGCTATAATAAAACCGCTGTTGAAGAAACCATCACTGGACCCCACTAAATTCGACAACTATCGGCCAGTTTCCAATCTCCCCTTCTTGGGCAAAGTCTTGGAACGTGTGGTGGCCTCAGAACTCCAGGTATTCTTGGTAGACACGGATTATCTAGACCCGGCACAGTCTGGCTTTAGGCCGGGACATGGTACCGAGACAGCCTTGGTCGCCTTAGTGGATGATCTGCGCAGGGAGCTAGACAGGGGGAGTGTGTCCCTGTTAGTTCTGCTGGACCTCTCAGCGGCCTTCGATACCGTCGACCACGGTATCCTTCTGAGACGCCTCGCGGGAATGGGCCTTGGTGGCACTGCTCTGCAGTGGCTCAGGTCCTTCCTAGAGGACCGTACTCAGAAGGTGTTGCTGGGGGACAACTGCTCTACCTCACAACCATTGTCTTGTGGGGTTCCGCAGGGCTCAATATTGTCCCCCATGTTATTTAACATCTACATGAAGCCGTTGGGAGAGATCATCCGGAGTTTCGGGGTGCGGTGTTATCTGTACGCAGATGACGTCCAACTCTGTCACTCCTTCCCACTTACTACTAAGGAGGCTGTTCAGGTCCTGAACCGTTGCTTGGCCGCTGTGTCGGACTGGATGAGGGCTAACAAATTGAAATTGAATCCAGACAAGACAGAGCCCTCCTGGTCAGTCGAGGCCGAACAGGGTATATGGTTACAGCCTGTGTTGGACGGGGTTCACACTCCCCCTGAAGACGCAGGTTCGCAGCTTGGGTGTGATCCTGGACTCATCGCATGAGCCTTGGAACCCCAGGTTTCGGCGGTGTCCAGGGGAGCATTTGCACAACTAAACTTGTGCGCCAGTTGCGCCCGTACCTTGGGAAGTCTGACTTGGCCACGGTAGTCCACGCTCTGGTCACATCCCGGATTGATTACTGCAACGCGCTCTACGTGGGGTTGCCCTTGAAGACTGCCCGGAAGCTGCGCATAGATTACTGCAATGCGCTCTGCGTGGGGTTGCCCTTGAAGACTGCCCGGAAGCTTCAGATGGTCCAGCGCTCGGCGGCCAGGTTGCTAACGGGAGCGGCACTCAGGGAGCATACCACTCCTCTGCTGAGCCAGCTCCACTGGCTGCCAATCCGCTACCGGGCACAATTCAAGGTGCTGGCTTTAGCCTATAAAGCCCTAAACAGTTCTGGCCCCGCTTACCTCTCCGAACGCATCTCCACCTATGAACCGACTAGAACATTAAGATCGTCTGGGGAGGCCCTGCTCTCGATCCCGCCTGCGTCACAGGCGCGCTTGGCGGGGACGAGAGACAGGGCCTTCTCAGTGGTGGCCCCTCGGCTATGGAATGCCTTGCCGGCAGACATCAGACAGGCACCTTCGTTGCTGACGTTTCGGAGAATGGTTAAGACCTGGCTTTATGAACAAGCGTTCGGCTAAGCAATGCAACCAATCAAGGAAGACGGTAAATGGAACATAGGAACGGCACAAGGACTATGAAAACGGATCTGATTTCAACTGAGGCGTTATATATGTTGTGTTGTTGATTTGTCCTGTCTGATTGTTAACTGTTGTGGATCTATGTGTTGATCCTGTTGTTGTATTATGTTTTAATTGCACTGTAAACCGCATTGAGTCGCCTGTTAAGGGCTGAAAAATGCGGTATAAAAATGAAGCAAATAAATAAATAAATAAATAAATAAAATATAATTACTTTGCAATGAGCAAAGCTACGCATTCCTTCTATCTATGTAATTTGAAGTTTGGTATCCCATAACCAATGGGACACCAGACTGCAGAAAAAGTTTTTTATCAACTAAATAGTTCCAGATGGCTTCAAGGAAATGAGCCAAGTGAAATGAAATAATGTCAAAAGTTTCCAGCAAAATGGTAAAGACTAACCCAGAAAGTTCCATTGTACTTCTGAATCTAAGAAATGATGGAGATTGCTGGTCATGGCTGTGATGTCATTAAGGCTGAATTAATGATAGGGCAGCTCACAGAAGTAGGAAGAAGGAAATATGAAATGACAAGAGTGTGGCACAGAGCATCTGGAAGCCTGAAAAGTCAACACAGATGACTCTCATATTGATCCTTCTTTGTATTTTTCTCCCCAGAGGCTACTGAAATTTTGTCTGAAGATAATCTGAATTAGATCTAGTTGATTGTGACAGGATATGCATTGGAAACATCTGCATCTAATGTCCCATCTACAATTCTCTTTCAATCTTTCCTCACCTGTTTGTTTAGCACACATGTTCACCTCACCACACCACACACTGAATTCACCTTACCATAAATTGAATCATAAAGTCCTTCCAACATTTAAGAACACATGTGCACAACACTGACCTATTAAATAAATAACATTTTAAAATGTTTAAATAGACATATACAGTAGCTTAGAAGTCCAATACCTTCCAATTCAAATGCTTTCTAACATCTCCTAAAGATCATAATGGTTGCACTCAACATATCATTAAAGACTATGAAACAAAGGACATGATCCAGCACCATGTGCTGGCTTTCATGTCAGTGGGGTCCTGGATCCACTCTGGATTTCAGTCTGGTTTTCAGTCAGATGTTAAAGTTACGAATGTTAAATGTGTTGACTATGGTACTGAACCCCTTTCCCCAAACTAAGATTGAATGCCTTGGATAGTTCTTCTAACTTTTTAAAATAAAATCTGGACTAGATTCACACACATACACTAACATGGGAGAAACCAACAGCAACTGCCCTGATGATTCCTGACCATGAAGTGAAGGCATCTGGAACCTGGGACCCATTCACATTGTACATTTATCATGCTATGATTTCATTTTGGGTGCCATGGTTCCATTCTATGGAATTCTGGGATTGGGAGTTTAAGGAGGGACACCTCTTCAAAACAACAAATCCTAGTTTTCCATAGGATGGAAACATGGCAGTTAAAGTAAAAGACTGCTGCTAACATTATGTAATGTGTATTCATCAATTAAAAAAATGCTGAGAAAGAAATTACTATTTCTTTTCTGTGAACTAAAGATACCGAAGGAACATTTAAGCTTTGCAAATATTATTTCCTCCATATATATCCACCAGTCAACACAATTATATCCCATTTGCAGATATCAAAACCAAGTGAAAATATATGGGAAGTTGTTCAAAGAGACACAAAAAGAGTGGAGGAAAGAAGAGAATTAAAATCCCTGACTTGTGTCTGAATCTTGAAACATCCCTTATCTTTCATTGAAGTCTTTAAAAAAAATAGTTTCCAATATGCATATTGCGCTGCATTCTTTATATATCAAATATTTATTCACTGGTTATCATTTATCACATTAACTTACTGCAGATACTTGGTTCAATGTATTTGAAAATCCATTTATTTTCACCTATTGATATGCATGTTTTACACTTGTATATAATACAATATTTTCAGTGTTGGTTGTAAGAATAACACAAAGAAAATAAATGCTGAGATGCACATTGTAGAATGTTGGCTAAACTGTGGCCAAACTGATAACGGCTACAAAATTACACATTTCTACGTTGTACTGTCCCAACCAAAGGAAATCATTGTTATTTTCAAATTAGATGTTCCCCCAATACACATATGTTAAAAATCAAAATCTATATAATATTTTTTTTTCAAAATAGTAAGATAATTTACTGATGCTAGATCCAATTTTCCCTAATTAAAAAATAATGGGGGGAAATACCTTTCCTGCAAAAGTTTGGATTAGTGTGTAGCAGAATGATACACAATGCATCTCAAATCCATTTCTAACAATCATTAGTTTTCCACTATCCAGTGCCATAATACAAGAGAGATAATTAAATTGCCATGGAGCAATCTTGTATCAGGTTACAGGACAGAGAGTGCCCAAATTATCCATCCATCATAAAAACCAATTTATTACTAATTAGCCATGTCAATCACTTGTGGAAAGAATTCACTTTATTTTCAGAGATATCAGTAAGCATTTCAAGAAAAAACATGAGCTTTGGGGCACAATTCTTCCTATGAAGACTCAAGACCAAGAAGTCTTGATATCGACACATAAAACGAAAGAGTATAAATTTTGTTTTGTCCTCTCCAAGAACAATTTGCAGCATGAACATGGAATGAGCAAGAAACAGTCACCCACCTTTGCCTTCCTATTTTCAGATAGCATGGCATATATTAAATGACATATAAAATTATACATTCTGTAATAACTTAGGGGAAAATGTTTACAGCTGCTTAAGGCATTTTAAACATTAAAGGTTCTCTATGAAACAACTGATCAAGATTTTAAAATAGATACTGAAATCGAAGGAAATAGAAAAAAAAAGAATTTTTGGCTGAACAAAATGGCCACAGGATGATTTAAAGATATCTGGGGTAGCCACAGAAAGCCATAATGGATGCCAGACTTGAAGACGGGATTGGGAGGGGGGGGGGGATTCTATCAAGAAACAGAGCTGAGTAAACATCTAACTTAAGCATTTAATTAATAAAGTCCAAGCAAGAAACAGCCATTAAAAAAAGCAAACTGAAAAAAGACACATCTGAATGAATATCATTAAATCCTAGAACTGAAAAATTAACATGCATTCCTGGCTACTCTCATAAAGGGACTAGCTAATGTCATTTATTATTTACCACAATCTTTTAGGACCTAATATTAATAAATCAAAGAGTATACAGGAACATCCATCTTCTTGAAATTATACAAAACAGATATTTTAATAGCATAAAATACTGGGGAATATGAAAATTCAGTTTTGACTACCCTTTATTCATCTGAAAGAAGTTGGAGTACCTGGTTAGCTGTCGGGAAACATATCTGACTAATGATACATTCATATATGAATGAGGCGTTCAGATTACTACATGTCAACAATAATGATTAACAATGGATATATATTTCCATTCCTGTAAGAAAAAGAACATCAGTGTATTGAAATATGTAGCCTTGGAGGTTCAGGAGCAGAATACAAATTAAAGGGGTCTAAGCCTGTGCTGTATCAGAGGACAATTTCTGGAACAGTAATTTGATTAAAGCACTGCACAGTCCCAGCTGTAATTGGAATGAAGGACCAGAAAAAGGTTGCAGAGGGAAGGGATCAGTCAATTTCATAGACGCCTTTCATAGAGGTGAATTTTCATAAGTCTCAGTCAAGGATCCAAAAGATTAGGGTTTCTTTGGTGTCCCTTTAGCATCACCTCTGCACTTTCTTAATCATTTATTTCTTCAGGTTTGCTATTTTTACAAATGTACACAGTACAGTCCATTGAACTCTTTCCAACAGAAGGTCTGCGAGTCTGACATCCCAGCAATTTTGATCCTATGTGACCTTCCATTACCATGCATGTTCTTACTGAAGCAACAGCACATCCCTGTAGGTTCAGACCTTGCCTCAGTGACCATACTTAAGTGTTAAAACTTCCTGCTTGGCTGTTTTTAATGTTATCAGTGTTCAATTTGATTCGATTTGCCTTTTGCTATCCAGTTATCTGTAAAAACAAAAAAGAAGAGAAGACCAAATTTAGATATGTAGAACATCAGGTTTATATTAGCATAAATTTATTTATTTATTTACGACATTTCTACCCGGCCTTACTCCAACCTGGAGGTGACTCAAGGCAGTTTTACAGCCCGGCAGCCATTTGATGCCTTCAACAATATGCAACTAAAAATAACATTTAAAACAGAATTATAAAATACATACATTAAGACCTTTAAACATATATTTTAAGAAAACCTTAACTGTTAGCCTCATTATCCAAAGTCATAGTCTGAGACGTTCCAATATTCAATTGCACATAATTCTGTATTATCTATTGCACTAGATTTCCAAAGCCTTGATCAAAAAGCCACGTTTTCACTTTCTTATGGAAGGCCATGAGAGAGGAGGCTGACCTAATACCCCTAGGAATGGAGTTCCACAGCCGAGGGGCCACCACTGAGAAGGCTCTGTCTCTCGTCCCTGCCAGTCGTGCCTGCGAAGACAGCAGGACCAAGAGCAGGACCTCCCCAGATGATCTTAAGCTCCTAGATCAGGGGTCCTCAAACTAAGGCCCGAGGGTTCTGGTTCTGGCCCTCCAAGGTCATTTATCTGGCCCTTGCTGAGGGTCAACCTAAGTCTGAAATAACTTGAAAGCACACAACAACAATAATAATCCTATCTCATCAGCCAAAAGCAGGCCCACACTTCCCACTGAAATACTAATGAGTTTATATTTGTTAAAATTGTTCTTCATTTTAATTATTTTATTGTTTTAAGTGTTTTTTGCACTACAGATACGATATGTGCAGTGGAATTCATTTTTTTTTCAAATTATAATCTGGCCCACTAGCAGTTTGAGGGACTGTAATGTGGCCCTCTGTTTAAAAAGTTTGAGGACCCCTGTCCTAGATGATTCATAGGGAGAGATGCGTTCAGACAGGTAAGTTGGGCTAGAACCATTTAGGGCTTAGTAAATCTCTTTACTATACCCCTATGTAGAAATTTTATTCTTGAACATACAATGCAACTGCCATTAGAGTTAGGGATTCCAAAATTCACTCATTCCCTGATCCCTGTTTTGTTCAAGTTGAAGATGGAATTAGCATGAATAAGAAAAACAGATGTTTCACCTGTTAAAGAAACATGTCTGTATGCTACAGGTAGACTATAAATCAACCATTATATTACTCATTTATTAGGCCCAAATGTTCCATTTGAATATATCCTCTTGTGATGGGATCTGGTTAACCATATACATTACCCTTAAATATTGTGCCCAGAGCTGTAATATTCTACAGTAAAACATTGCTTGCTACAACTACAAGACAACTTTCTGTAGCTCACAAGTCTAAATATCCATTGGTAGATAATGTTATGCAGTAATAAACAAATAGGTATATATATCTTGGGGTCAATGATGAGAATTCAAATAGTCTTTGTGAACAAAGGGGAATTAATTTACATTTCTGAATTATAAATTTTCCCATTACACATAACATAGTTCCGCTCTTTCATCAATGCCTCTTTTGCCAAATAAAAGGCTATTTTGAAAAATCTACCCAAAGAAGATGAAAGAGCTTCTCTGGTATCAAATGAAGGGTTTAAAGGAAGAGAAAAGTGATCATGGAAAGTTCATAACTTCTACAAACATTTTTGATGTCTTATTAAAACAATAGCAAGAAAAACGTAAAGGATATTTGGATAATCTTAGAATTTGTTCCTCAAAACTGACTACTTTTAAAACTGCTTAGATCAGTGTTTCTGAACCTGGGGGTTGGGACCCCTGTGGGGTTTGTGAGAGGGGTCACCAAAGACAATCAGAAAATGTAATATGGGGGTTCTGTGTGGAAAGTTTGGCCCAATTCTATCATTAGTGGGGTTCAGCATGCTCTTTGATTGTAGGTTAACGATAAATCCCAGCAACTACAACTCCCAAATGACAAAATCCATCCCCTCAAACCCCAACAGTATTCAAATTTGGGCACATCGAGTATTTGTGCCAAATTTGTTCCAGTGAATACAAATGCATCCTTTATATCAGATATTTACATTGTGACTTATAACAGTAGCAAAATTACAGTTATGAAGTAGCAATAAAAATAATGTTATGGTTGGGGGGTCACCACAACTTGAGGAACTGTATTAAGGGGTTGCAGCATTAGGAAGGTTGAGAACCACTGGCTTAGATGTCTTCTGTCAAAACAAACTCAGAAAGTAAAAAAAAAAATCACGAGCTGAAGCAGCATGATTTTTTTTAAAGAAACCCCACACAATTCAGCACATAAATAATATTCATCCGCATCTCCCTTGTATATAAAGCAGCTTTCAAAACTTCACTACCATACTTTCATCCAAACCAACATAAAAACTAAAGGACAACAGGGAAAAAGTACACATGACAGAATATTTCACATTAATTGGGTTTTTTCTCTCTCCTCCTGACATGTATTTAAAACACGAAGAAAAAGAAAACAAAATCTCTGCAACAATATCAAGGGGAAACAAATCTTTAAGGACTATTTCTGCTGTGTCAGTAGATGCAATTAATAATAATGTTACTGCTTGGTATGAAACTTCGTTAAACAATACTCTGTTTTCTCTGGAGACTTGACCCTCTGGGCTGGCCATGGTAATAGTATGTCAAGGGAAATCTCTGGTTTTGAAGGGCCATGCTCCTTAATGATGAAATATTCCATCGCCCTTAGCAAAACCATTTGCAAACTGCTCTTTTATCAACTGTGGAGAGAGTGGGAATACAGAAATGATCAAAAGGGCTGCTTTCAGAGTTTAGTTGTCTCTTTAACACTTTTGTGTGTCTGGTTTTTAAACACATAGAGAGCAAAAAATTGGCATGCATTTTTTTATTTATGCAATGGAAGTTGATTGAGACACTTAACCAGATGTTGGTTGACTACAAATCCAAGCATCTAGCCACATTGAGAGGGTGTGTCTAGGTACTGCCATTAAAGGGTGAGTACTAACTGGGAAGATTTTTTACAAAATGTATGCCTCTGAAACCTGGATAATAAACAAATTAATACAAAGGAGTCTTACAGTTTAAAGTATAAAGCAGAAATGTTTATGTGTTGTCCTACATAATATTAAGAAGGAAGGACCTTATTTGATGGTCTGCAGGTTCCATTTCCATGCTCTTGGGAAATGGAGCCCCACAGAATTCCATGGAGGCTATCACATGACATAATGACACTTCCAGGGGGATTCCATGGCACTTTGTTCCTAAGCTCATCGAAATGGTGTCCAAAGACAGTCTTCAGGAGTCAGGTGTTAACCAACTCCAAGCAGCAGAATGCTGGAGAAAGTGGGAAAGATGGGGACAGGCGCAGTAAGAATGTGGGATGGCTGGCCCTCCCAAAAGATGTGGAAAGATGGGAGGACATGGGGTAAGAGAGTTTCCTTCACTTTCCCCTGTTTTCCCCGCTTTTCCCCCATGCATCTGATGAAGTCCACAGATAAGCGAGTTCCAAGCATGAGGCTACTAGCTGAAAAGCAGGGGGAGGGGGAGGAAGTAAACAAATGGCCAGAACATAATAAAATAAAAATACTGAAAGGGTTGCAATATTTATTAGTTAAGTCATTAGATGGTTGATGCAATCTAACGATGGCATCTACAAAATAATGGTCTTGCAAGTGATTTGTCACTCATTTTAAAAAGTTCATAAGATTTCTTCTCTGATTGGATGGTAAGAATTCTAGGGAGGATCTGTCCCTGATTGGGCAGGAAATTGCCCCTTCTACGCAGCTGTATAAAATCCCACATTATCTGCTTTGAACTGGGTTATATGGCACCATGGACTAAGATAACCCAGTTCAAAGCTGATATTGCGGATTATCTGTGCCAATGTTCTGGATTATATGGTTGTGTGGAAGGGCCCAGAGGCAAAAGATACTATTAGAGCCAATTCCTGAGAAACAAAAGTCAGGCTATTACACTGGTCTTAAGCCACAGTTGTTTTGTTGCTATATTTACTGGCTGGGATGTATCCTTAGAAATGCTGATAAGATGGAAATGCAGCTATCAAACAGGCTACATTTGTTATCTGTTTAATATATAAATGTCTCTGTTTGTTTATACACACATATATCAGATATTGTAATAGGTTGCAATGCCAAAGTAAGTTTATTATCTCCAATAGATGCCTGTTAAAGATAAATGTAATTGATGCTTCTGTGTATAACAATTCTTGTGTGTTTTATGCACAGCAGGGCTTATAGATAAGTAAAAATAATCACCCTCCAAAAAAACTGAGAGTTAATTTATACACTGGATCAATGTGGACCTAAGTCTACTACAGTATCACTTCTGCTCTTTCATAATAAACGCTTAAAAATTGTGGCTCTTTGGTGCTTACCTGCTGGGTTGGGGAGACTAGAGCTCTGTGCTCTGTTTAGGTTACTGGGACAGGTTCAGATTCTTTCATTCTGAGCTGCTTGGAGTGGAGCCAGGGCATTTTACTAATGAAATTCTCACTCCACCCCCCCACCCCTTTGCCCAGATCATCTCTCATCTCACCCACTGCTTCTGCTGCAACTGCTTCTGCTGCTATCCTCTCCTTGGTCAGGGAGACCCCACACACATGCTCCTGTTCCAACTTCTTCTCTGGGCGTCATAGCAGCAGTGCACTCCTCTTCTCTAGAGCTGCCCTCCCTGCTTGTCCAAGGCAACACTGCACAATGACTCTCCACTTATCTGTAGGTCATATCAAAATCCATAATCTTGGCTCATGAAGTTGACTAATGACACAACTGATGACATTATCACACCTGGGCTTTAAAGCAGTGGCACCACATTTCTGCTGACTGCAGAATTCTGGGAAATGTAGTTTGTGAAGGTGAGGACCTCTGTAGCTGATAATTCAAAAGACCCTGCCCTAAACTACATTTCCCAGAATTCTGTGGGGCTTCCCATTTTAAATCGCTGGTGTGATAACATGGTTATACACAAGCATACAAGGTAAGTATAAATATGTTTATTAGAAAAAGAGCATA